TGTACCGGTGAGCGGCTCGGCCTGGGCTCACGGGGCAGAAACCTCACTGCGCCGAGGTGCCCGGTGGTCGGCGGGCAGCTGCGTGGTGACAGTGGCCCTGGGCGCCCGGCCGGCGGTGGCTGCTGTGGCAGCCCTCCTGGCACCCTCTGGACCCTGTCCCCTGAGCATCGCCGTCCGGTCCTGCAGATGCCACGTCGGAGCAGGAGGGCTCCGCCCTGCCCGTGCTGGCCGCCGCCGGCCGCCTGCTGCCGCCCCAGGAGCGCCTGCGGGAGAAAGCCTTCGAGTACTGCCAGCGCCTGGTCGAGCAGAGCAACCGGCGTGAGTCCGGCCGTCCCTGCCCGTGAGGCCATGCCGGGCGCTCACAGGACGCCGGGGCCCCACAGCTTCGTTCCTGAGGCCTTTTGTTTCCAGGCATAAGCCCCGGAAGCTCGGCACTGGACAGAACCGTCCCCAGCCTCCTCAGGCTGCGTGCCCAGCCCCAGTCACGCCTCCCCTGGGCACTGCTCCGGGCCGAGCCCTGTCTCGTGCCTCCTCCCCTCGTGGGTGTCCACTGCCCGGTCCCCGAGCCCCCAGGACAGTGTGCCTCCTGTTTGGCTGCTCGATGCCGGTGCAGAGACCAGTCGCCTTTCTCCTTCCCCCAGGAGCCCTGAGGAAGGGGGACGCAGACCTGCAGAAAGCCGTAAGTGCCTGGGGGGCTGGGAAGCCCTCTGGCGGCCGGGGCTCACCTCCCTCTGAACGCGGCCTCGGCATCCGCCCCGCAGTGCCTGGTGGAGGCCGTGCTGGTGCTGGACGTGCTCTGCCGGCAGGACCCCTCCTTCCTGTACCGCACCCTCCCCTGCCTGAAGGCCCTGCAGGCCCGGCTGTGCGGGGACCCTGCCTGCGTGCGGGCGCTCCTGCCCGTCGCCCAGTTCTTCTTGAACCACGGTGAGCCTGGGTGCCACACGGTGCGGGGCTGCGGGGCTCACGGGGCTGGAGGGACTCAGCGATCTTGCTCCTCTTCCCCACGCTCCCCCCTTCACCTGTAGGGGCATCGCTTTGTCGTGGTTGGCACCAGATGTGGCAGTTTTAAAAGGGATTTATGTAGTGAGTTAAAATGTTACCAACTTCATGTCACTCTTAGAACTCGCTTTGCCACCAGAGTTCATCAGCTTCCTGTCCCTCAGAGGGTGGCCTGTGGCCACAGCCGTGCGGGAAGCTGGACACAGCTTGGCTGTGTTTCTCGTGTGAGACGGAGTGTCAGAGCCCCTGGTGTCCCGGAGACACGTATGGCCGTGGAAACTGGCCCGAGACCCTGAGGGGCCCTGCCCAGGAGCAGGTGTCCTCACGACGAGGACAGGCACAGTAACGGGCTATGCTTTCAGGGGAGGCGGCCGCCGTGGACTCAGAGGCCGTCTGCCAGCACCTGTTCACCAGGGTCCCCTCCGAGCACTTCCACAGCCCGATGCTGGCCTTCGAGTTCATGCAGTTCTGCAGGGACAACCTTCCCCTGTTCGGCAGGAGCCTCGGCATCCTCAAATCCAGCTTCCCCAATCTCTTTAAGGCACGCTCCTCATCCCTGGGTCGAAGTGGGGGCTGGGTGTTATGCGTCCCCCAGCTCTCCCCTCCATCGTGGGACCTTGGGGCCAGTCCTGGCCTGTCTGTGACCACAGGGCCAGTCACTCCGGGGCCTCAGGGCAGGTGGCCTGGAATACAGGCATGGGGCAGCCCAGGGGTCCGTGCATCACAGATAAGCAGCTTCACTGTCAGGCAGCCTTGGGCTGGTCCCTTGGGAGGCCTAACTCGGTTTAGTCCTCAGATCATCTGCCCAGAGTGCAGCATCCACCCTGGCAGCCTCGCCTGAGTGTCCAGCTCTTTGGTGCCGTTGCCTGTTGATGTGTTTCCTGTGACTGGCAGTCACCAAGTAGCATTTTCAAAATCTTTGGAGGGTTAGTCCTTTAATCAGAGAAACGGCAACAGTGACGCATGGGAAGTGATTTAATTGTTGACACAAAAGTGAATGCAGAAGCAAAAAGAAAGAAGAAAACATTGTAGGGAGTATTTTCAGAGCCCTGGGGCCCCGTGCAGACACCTTGCCCAACAGCAGTGACCAGGGCACGACCTGATGGCCCCCTCTGGGCAGCTGACAGCCCCCTGCTGAGCTGCCCTGCCTGTCCCTGCAGCTCCTGGCCTGGAACAGCCCGCCCCTGGTCTCCGAGTTCGTGGCGCTCCTCTCGTCACTGGTGGATGCGGGCACGGCCGTGGAGATGCTGCACTTGCTGCTGGACCTGCCATGTCTGACCGCGGCCTTGGACCTGCAGCTCAGGTGAGCCTGCTCCTGCGTGCCTGCCTGCCCTTGCCGTTCCCTGCCCCTCCCCTCCCGCGGTCCCCTGCCATGCACACCACCCAGGTACCAGACCCGTAGGCCCTTTCTCGTCACCTCAAGACTCCTCACCGGGTCAGGGTGTTGGGATGTCACAGTGACATTTGCTTTTGTCCCTCGGGTCTGTCCACTCACAGATTATCACCAGCTGCATCTGAGAGGCCCCTCTGGGACTCCTCCCTCAGGACACCCAGCTGCCTGGAGGCCTCCCGGGACCCGCAGCTCCAGGGTCTTCTCCAGCACCTGCTGCGCACCAAGGCCAGTGGGACCACGGAGAGGTAGGCGACCCTCAGGCTGGGAAGCCCCTGGGACAGGGCTGTGTGGACAGGGCCCTGGTGCCCACCCCCGGGCCTAGTGCCTCCTGACCTGGAGAGACAGCTGCCATTGCCCTTAACAACTGGCACCAGCCCGGCGCCCAGGGCTCGGCTCTGTCAGTTACACACACCAGTCCGCATAACCTGTGAGGCCGGCACTCTCGTGACTCCATTTTACAGGTGGAGAAACTGAGGCTTAGCATCCCCTAGGAGAGGAGATCCAGGAGTGCAACAAGGCTCCTCAATTCTGCCCTACACTAGCTCCCTGGTCACGTGGGAGCAAGGCCGTCCTGAGGAGTGAGAGGCTGATGACAGGAGCAGGGCTTAGGAGCATGAGATGTTCATGGTGACAGGGTGACCTCCTTTGATGAGGGCCTGCGAGTAGTTTCAGATCCCTCAGACCCTCCTGGCTTCCCACAGGCACTGGCCTATGGGGTGACGCAGGCTCATGTGTTCAGAGCGTGTCCCTGGGCACCAGGCGGGTGGGGGTGGGCGCTCAACAGGCCGTGCCCTGTATCCCCAGGTTGGCGCCACTCTACCAGATGCTGCAGCCCATGGCCAGCTGCGCCCGGGTGCTCCAGTGTGCCCAGGCGGTGCCCACCCTGCTCCAGGCGTTCTTCTCAGTGGTGACCCAGGTGAGCCTGCTGCCAGGCCCTCATTCCCACAGCCTCACACTCCAGGCCCCACCCCACCCCCCACC